CTGCAGGTGATCCTTTCCCCACCTCCACCCAAAGGGATCAGTGCAAAGATTAATTCCATTAACAAGGGCAAGGTGATCAGACACCGCTGATGTCCCCCACAGAAAGGGACAACGTTACCCAACTGACTTGATGGACAGCAGAGGGGTTACATGGCTTATGGAAGGGGAATTTGGGTTAAGGACATTAGAGAGAAGCGTTGTGGAAGGTGCCAAGCAGATGGCAAAACCCTTCTGAGACCCTCCACTTAGTCTCATGAATATGAGAAGCTATTGGCATCAATTTTCAGCACTGTCTGTATTTCTGCTGTTTAGAGTTGTTACCACTGGGTGGCAGTTGAGGAAAAAAGAAGAAAAGGCCTCCTTTAATTCAGAGTGCGTGCACTGAAGCAGGGCTGCTGGCCACAGCCAGGATCCTGCTGAAGTTCGTGAAACAAATATCCACTGACTTCAGCCCAGCCAGGATTTCAGCCTAGGGTTCTGCTCCTGTTCTCTGACTCCCAAAGCTGTCGGGGGTTAAGGCAGGGGAAGGCAACAAAAATAGAGCCTCTGGTGGGAGGAACAAGGACCGCTCTCATTGACAGTCTCCTGGCAGACTGGGTAGAGGCAGCAACATGCCTTGATAGAACAGTTGGAGATGTAAGTTGATGGCTCAGGAATTGCAAAGAATCGGGGCAGGAGGGAAATACACAGGTGATTCTCCAGGTTCTGCCAAGTCTGCAGGAGCGGGCTGCATGGGCGATCGGGGCATACCAGACACGATACTAAACAATTACACTGTGTATCTGTTTTTTCTGAAGACAAGCATCATAACCCTGTACACTCCTTGAGCATGCAGCCCCTCCTTTTAAACGCCACTGAATGAGTTGCGTGCTTAGAGTTAAGCCTGTATGTAAGTTATTGCAGTGTCTGGGGCAAAGTGGACTTACACCATCCCTGCGTGTCGCTTGCTGGGTGTTAATAGATCAATGCCCAGTTAACCAAGAGTCACCCTGTTGGGTTGACTTCCTGGCCAAATGATATGGATCAGGCTAAGGGACTCTTAAGATGTTGTTGGTGTACTAGTAATAATTCAGCACGTCAGCCGAAAGAGGCATATAAGGAAATATAATTTATAATAAGGGTTTGGATTCCAGCGGAGCTCAGGGGAGCTGAACCCCCACATTAGAGACAAGAGCCCCCCTCTTGGGGGTCTCCAATTTTATTAGGGCATCATGATGGGCAGCCCAACTTTTTTTTTTTTTTTTTACAGCCCTTCTCACGAGATTCAAAGTGTAATTCAAACCCTGCTCATAAGCCCTTGACAACAGTTCTTGCCCGTCTTCCCACCTGCAGTCGCAGCTCACTGGTGTCAGAGCTGAAATATATTTCTAGAGAGTCACCTTCCAAATGAGAGTTGGAGGATCTTTTATTGCGTAGCCAAAAGGCTGAAAGCTTCAGTAGACTTCTTTGTTCTGGGAGCTCCGCAAACCAGTCCAAAGCAGTTCCTTGTGGGTCCCTGGTCAGTTAGACCTTGAGAAGGATTTAGTTCCTAGTTGGGGAATCCCCCATCTCCATTTTTTTTTCCCCACTATGCACCTGGCTCCGTATTAATTGGGGCTTTTCTAGGCTGTCTGCCCACTGGTCCATAAATTAACTTCCCTCCCATCTGACGCGTTTAACATGTTTCCCACTAACAAGGCTTAGCCGTATATTAGCAGCTTAGTTCTTTTGTTCCCCCCTTGTAGGCTTCTCGGAAATTTAGTTAAAACCTTAACATCATTATGCAGTTGCAACACAGTGATATGTAAATGTATGAGGGTACATAAGCCCTTGCATGTTGTTAATGTACTTACATTGCATGCTGGGTTTTAGCTTCTGTACAGTTTTGAATATCTCCAGTGTGTGTCAACACTCGGTCAACATGCAAAGCTTCAAGCAGCCCCCACATGTGCAGTGTTTAACTCTTTGTTTGGTCCTAGATGAGCTGCCGTACCTGAGATGCCCGCTTCATACTGTATTCAAACTCACGCCGGTTGCATATGGTGAATATTTTCCCATTTCTGACTTACAAAATTGCCTACCAAGTTCAGGTAACAAGGTGCAAATACAAAGTTACTTCCAGTTAGTCAGCCAAGTTAGACATCTCATGGTACTAAACTAAGAGGCCCCAAACTGCAATCTTTTATTCACACATGCGAAAAAGGCTACTCCTGTGATTAAGAGCTAGCGCCTTCTAGACAGAGGCACCTTGGATATGGATATTTCCATGGAAGCCGAGTTTGTCCTCCAAACATGAATAGAAATCATATCAATTTAGTACATTCCATGTAGTGCATGTCTTTGGTGGGAGCTGCCGTTGTTTATTAGCCTCATTTTTGCAGCCCAAACCACAAGGAATTATTTAGTACAATGTATATGTAGAATCCATGCTTGATATTGAATTTGAAGCAAGGCAAATGCAAGAGTTCTTCACAAAAAAAGGAAATGAACTGTTCCCTGTCTTTGAAAACAATTTTGCAGTTCAGCAGAAGTTTAAAAATAATTTTATATTAAAATCAACTGTAGTTCCTCCTAACATGTTCTCTCTTTTCTTTGGGTGAAGGTTGCAAAGTAGAAATGATCAACCTGAATGTTGAAGCAGTCAACACCCACCGAGACAAACCTTCTATGAGTACAGTAAGTCTTGTCTGAAAATTTCTGCCTTTGACTTGTGTGCCAAGCTTTAAAAAACAAAACAAAAAAACCCCAAACCTGCATTACAGGAAATGTTGCAAATCAAAAGCAGTCACGTATCAGGGAGCAGAAGATATTCTAAGCATGAGAGCCACATTTACTTCCATTGCAGTATGAAGGCTTTGATGATAGTGATGGATGGACTGTGGATTTAGAGACGCAGTGCTAGCTTTGTCAGATTTTGTCTCTGTAGTCCCTTACACCTAGATTCATCAGGACGCCCTGTTCAGCAAAGCGCTTAATCCCTTTGGCCTACGTAGCTTCAATTTTACAAGTGGCTTTAGTTTTGGAGTTCTCCCTTGTACCTACGTGCAGAACCTAGCTTTTTCAGAGGTGCCAATCATTTGAAGCTACCATGACCTGCAGTAAAGACGGTTAGGTATTCACCATCAGTAACTATACAGAGACTGCTTTTAAAGCCCAGCACTCAAAAAGGGAAGACTCAGAATTGGAGGCCCCATACCAAATTCTGCGTAGCTAGACCAGGGTCTCTGTAATGAATCCATTAAATATAGACCCATGTCTGAAAACTTTGGCTTTCACCTCTCTGTTTAGTCAAGTCCTTTGAAGGTGAGTATAAAAGAGCTGTCTGTCATTCATATTTATTTTGAGTCTTGCTGAACTTTTTATGTCATCTAAATTTCTTTTGTTTAGCTCCATTATGACAACTACTAAGCAGCTGTGCATAGGGGGATCATTTGGAAGGTGACTTACAAGGCTAAAGCCTCATTGAACTGAGTAGAGATTATGAGAGTAGGATGAGCAGCAAAACTTCCTGTGGCTAATGTAGTTTTGGTGTTTGTAATTCAGACTTGCGTGGCTAGTGCTTTTACTCCATTGTTGCATGATACTTGGCTGTCTGCAGAGAAGAGTTAGCAGTTGTCTCTTCTCTGCTTCCTCTGGCAATATGGAGCTGCTTGAAGATAAATCTAAGTACTTGGGGAAAATGTGATTATTTAATGCATGATTTCATCTGAATTGTATAAACAAAATCTTCACTGCAGAGGGGGAAGGGAAATAAAAGTTTTGCAACTGTACTTGTCACTAGACTGTTTCAGCATTTTCTTGACTGCAGCAGTCTCTCAGCTGTTCCACGTTCAATGGATTGAGGATAAAGGGAATGGCTAGAATTTGGCTTAGCACTTCTAACCACTTTTGAGAAGGTGCTAGGTAGATTTTTTTTTTTTTTTTTTTATTACCCTTCGGGG